CACACACACACACACACACACACACTCACACACTCACACACACACCCTCACCTTCATTACAAGAAATCCTCCAGTCCAATCTGTTTAACACTTTGAGGGCAGACTGAACAAAATCTGCTTAAGTGCTCCCGAGCCGTTAGAACCGGACGAATGATAAGATGGTGATGAACAGATGATGTGTGTTTGTAGAAGAGTCGAGGCCGCTCCGTTTTATCTTTATATATATTTATATATAAACTCCAGCGGCCTCACAGGTGATGTAAGTGATAGATGAAGGACTCGCAGCGTTTTTACCATTTTGAGTTTGGTAAATATGAACCAGTTGTCAGCAGGATTTGGTTTTTTCACCAGTTTCCTGGGAAATGATTCTCAGATCTTGATGAAAACCTTCAGGAAATATTATTCATGACTGTTGGTGTGATCCAAATCAACGATCTCCATCTAGCTTGTTAATAAATTGTCTTTCTGTCGGGCCGTGGAGAAGGTTTTCACCCTTGGGTGTCGTTCCAGTTCCACAAGAGTCTGAAGAATCTGAGAACTTTGTTACCACACACACACTCAGCTAATATGATGTGGAACCCACTTGACATAATTAATTAATGACTTAAACAGATGCCTCCTGCTTCAAACTGACCTGTGTATTTTGCCAACAGGCAAAGGGGGGGGGGTATGTATTTGTGTGTCTGTGTGTGGAAATGGGGGGGGGGGTTAACCATGCTGTATAAATCCACACCAAGCACAATTAACAAGCAATTGGGAGGAGAAGTAATTAGTATTATCTACTTATCACCATCAACCCCATTCAGAGGAAAATGGGTTAAAAAACATAATGACACACGCACACTAATTCCCCCCCAGGCAAATGTGTAAAGGCTAATTACAACCTCATTTGCAACTGAATGGCGGTATCCTCTCTCAGACAGGGCTATCCCCCCCGCGTCCTCCCCCCCCCTCGCCCCTCGGCACTCTGGGTGTTAGCTTTACCTCTCAGCCCGCGCTGATATCGCTCCCCACGCAAACAACTAAACTGAGTTCCTCATCCATCGAGGGAGGACGATCCCCTGATTCAATACACACAGCTGACACAAAGCACACGTGGTGGTGGGGGGGGGGGGGGTTATTCAAACTCTGAAGTAGACGTTTACATTTGTAGTTAAACTTTAATGTAAATGTCCAGGATGTAAATAAAGTACATATGAAGACACATCGGACTCAGGTGTCTTCACAGACTCGTGAGGATTTCACCTCTTTAATGTTTCAGCTGTAAGATCGACCATTTAAATTAATAATCATTCTAAAAGAGAACCGGTAGATATTCACTGTGAGGGGAACGTCTGTCGTTATTCAAAGATCATTTACGTATCAATGTTGTTGTGGCACTAGAGCTCAAACCTCCATCAAGGCCCAGCAGGTAAACCTGACCTCCCTGTTTGAGGTAATCGTTTTATTTATCCTGTATTTTCTACACTCAACACGTGTTTTCATCCTCTCTGCCCTGATCACGTGTTCAAATTCACATATAAATAACACGGCTGTTGTGCTCGTGCATATTGGACAAGGTGCCGTATTCCAGAAGACAGTTTGGACTGAAATTAGCTTCAGGAAAGTGGACAAACAAATTCTGGGAATCGTCCATTAATCTGCAGATTATTTGTGTAATGAGATGTTCTCTTCAGGTGTCGTTCAGCGGCGGGTTATTGTTCCCTCCTGTGTGTCGAACCTCCCCCAGACATATCATGCTCCATGTTTGAGGGATCAGATTAACACAAGCTCACGGTTAGCTGGCAAACTCCAATTTAAGCCTTTAAAAAATAGAGTTGTGAGATACTGAGAAGTGACACAGCAGCTGATGCAACTCGAACGTTTTCAAGAATCAGATCAGTGAAGATCATAGAAATGTGTCGTCTCTGCATTTTAAATAATTTCAACAGATGCAAATGTTCTGGATAAGAAGTTAAATGATAAAGAAATAAAGATAAAGATAAATATAGATAAATACATGTTATATTTTACAGCGTGTCCAGTTTCTGATAAACTACAATGAAGCCACACTTCCAGTCACCAGATCCAGAT